TTTTTTTGTTTGGTTTTGATGAATCAGGACCAAACCAAACGACCAGAATCAGGAAGAAAGACAAAGACGTCGTTTCTTTTGCTTGCAAATAACTCTTTGTTTTCATATGTAATAAATACAGTTATTTACATGAAACAATAAATATCAAAACATCTTCATCGCTTTGCCTTCATGTCAGGGAAAATCACGTCACATCCAGAAGTTTCTCAGCTTTTTATTGGTCGCTGCTGAACACCCGCTCCTCCTCTCACACCCGCTCCTCCTCTCACACCTGCTCCTCCTCTCACACCTGCTCCTCCTCTCACACCTGCTCCTCCTCTCACACCTGCTCCTCCTCTCACACCTGCTCCTCCTTGTTGATGATGTTCTTCAGGAGCGTCACCAGCGGCTTCTGGCGCCCCTCCTCCCAGCTCTTCATGAACCCTCCGTAGCGTTTCCCGGCCGGCGGGCCCCCCCAGCGGAAATGCTTCATCTTGTATGAACCGTCCTTCTTCTCCTGCAGGCCCCCCAGGAGCCGCTGGTGCTCCTCCGACGCCTCCTCCATCACCTCCTGCTCCTCGGCTGCTGCCAGCAGCTCATTGGCCAGCTCCCTCCTCCTCATCTCTCCGGGGAACACCTCGGTGGACTCCCCCTGGACGCCGTTGGAGGTGTAGACCTTGACCGGGCGGCGCTTCCGGCCCACAGGCTTCCCCCAGCGGAAATGCTCCATGGAGTAGGAGCGCTTGGCCTGGGGGGAGGAGGAGGGGAAGGGGGAGAGCTCTGAGGGGGGAGGCGGGGGAGGCAGGAGGTGGGCTTCCCCTGGGATGAGGGGGGTCTCAGCGGTGAGGTCAGAGTGACAGGCGTGGATGCACTCCTGAAAGATTAGATCAACTGGATTAATGTTTATTTCACCTTTAATCTGATTAAATTAATTAATATCAGAGATTAAGGTTGTAATCTAAGATGGCCGCTCCTTTACCATCATGCCGCTCTCAGAGTTCAGGTCCTGGCAGCTCGGATGCTCCCAGCATTGGCTAACAGCTCCTGTGGCCCCGCCCACAATCACCACAGCCACCAATAGCCACACAGGACACATGATCCTGTCAACCAATCAGAAACGAGGACAAAAAAACTCACATTAAACCTTTTTCTGGACTTTTCTTTAGACGCAAAGTTAATCCAATTATCAACATAAATAATCTGATTCTAATCTGTTATTAATCTGCAGCCATGAATCAAATAAATCAAACTTTGAAGCTAATTTACAGTTATAGTAAAAAGTTTAACTGAAGTGGATCAAATCTCTCCTGATTGGAGTAAATAGGAACCTTTTCTAAAGTGGCCTAGTTAAAGTCCAGATTAGAAAAGGAAGCTAAAGATCAGGATTACGGTTCAGAACACTGCAGAAATCAGCAGAGCTGATATAAAAACATAGAAATAATTATCAGTTGAATCAGAAATGTTCTGCTGCTCTAATAGAAGCAGGAATAAAAGCTCCTGTGATTCTCACCAGCGTTTGTTTCTTCTCCTCTTATTGCTGCTGCTGTTCTTCTGGTTCTGGATGAAGACGTCTTGGTCGCTCTTCGTCTCTTCTGCGGCTTCCAGCAGCTCCTGGACTTTTATACGTTGCCATCAAGGACACACACAGAGCGGGCATAACGTCAGCGCCGCGATTCATTCATGTTGGTCAAACACACCCAGCTGCTCCGATCAATGGACATCTTCCTCCCTCCTCTTCCTCCGACCACAGAGGAAAAACAACGTTCAGTCTCAGTCTGCACTCGACCTTTTTAATTGTTTTTTATTATTTCAGATGAATGCTTCTCCATCCTCGGGGCTTAGCAGGAGGAGCAGCGTGTTAATCTCTGCTCAGGTTCCAGGTCTGGCAGATTAACGCCCAGGTGACATGCGGTCACAGACGGGGTCCGAAGCGGCGGTTCTGGGTGTTGGGTTGCCGAGCCCAGCAGCTGCTGCAGACTCCTTCTATTGTCACCAAAGCCGGTTCTGCTCAGGTTGATCCCCGTGGAGAATGAGACTCATTTTCCAGGTTTGAGGTCATCAGGTTCTCC